ACTTTCCCGAAATTCCATAGCTAGCTAGTTTCACTTCCAGTTCCCTATGCCACACTCGATCAAACGCCTTAGAAATATCACAAAAAATTAGACAAGTTGGCTGTTTTTTTTCTAGATTGTCACACATACTATGATATATTTCTATAAGCTGGTGTACAGTAGAGTGACCTGGTTGAAAACCTGACTGATATTTATATATGAGAGAATTATCTAAAAGGTAGTTATGTAAATATTTAGCGACTAATCTTTCGAAAACTTTACCAATAGTACTTAGTAGTGCAATAGGTCTATAATTTGAAGGGTCTTGTTTATCGCCCTTTTTAAAAACAGGTAACATACCACTCCTACTGACAACTAACCACTGCTACAGGTAACTTACCACTTCTACTGACAACTAACCACTGCTACAGGAAACTTACCACTTATACTGACAACTAACCGCTGCTACAGGTAACATAACACTTTTACTGGCAACTAAGCATTACTACAGGTAACTTACCAATTCTAAAGCTACTCCTTCGTGTAACTAACCAATTCTAAAGCTACTCCTTCGTGTAACTAACCAATCCTAAAGCTACTCCTTCGTGTAACTAACCAATCATAAAGCTACTCCTTCGTGTAACTAACCAATCATAAAGCTACCCCTACAGGAAACGAACCCATCCTACAGCTACTCCTACATGTAACTAACACATCCTGAAGGTTACTAACTACTCCTAAATGTAACTAGCCTGTCATAAATGTAGCCATCGTGTCTTACAGGTACCTTACCATTCCTACAGGTAATTATAACTACATATATCTCGTCATTAACTACTGTCACTGGTTATACAGACTCCGAATAACATAACATACACTGTCGCGTAATTAGTTGAAAGTGTCGGTCGTTTTTCCACTAATGTAAATGAAAAACAAAATAAGATAGAAATGCTATGAATGAATGCTACAGTGTATGGGGTAGGTTGTGGACTAGGTTTCACTTGGTAAATGTATATATACTACGAGGTAAGTTGTCTACTGTGTTCACAGCATAAATCAGTGTTATGGGGTAGGCGGTGGAATGTTTGACTTAACAAAGTAATGCTATATAATCAGGCGACTGTTCCAGTGAGTAATGCGATACATCTCAGATACTTTACAGAAGCGAGTCATCACTGAATTAATAAGCCAACAAGATCCTACTTAGTTATTGCTTTTCTATAGTCACCCTTTTAAAAGACTTGTGTATATTACACCTCGTGATGTGAAGGACTGGGGATACAGTCATGTTGTACTTACTATGATAGGTACATACTTGCTGAGTATGTGACCTACACGATGTAGATACTATTTTACCTATAGTTCACATAGGGCTACACACGACTTGACTTCACACCGATAATAGCAGCACAGGAATATAAATGTATAGAAATACAATGTTTGCCCCACTTTAGTATTACTGCATTCCATCAATTCAACAAACCAGAAAACTGCCTGCCCCCTTTAACATTTGAGCGATATAGATCGGTTTCTAACACCGACTCGTTCGATCCGATTCAAACATAGGTACACTGTACATGGCTAGTTTAATCACGGTGGAAATCTCATATGTTAGCACACATTTAAACCGTATACATGTATCTCCGTGATAACTTTCTTTCTAACTTTATTAAGTGTTTGACCTCCGAACCTGTCATGACTGAAACGCCCATATCGTACGGCGCAATGCGCTGTTCTAACTTCGATAAGCGAGACAACTCTCACAGGTTATATTAAATGTTCAGAATATCTGCTGAGTCATGATAAACATTAAAATTAATTAAAAAATGATTTATCACGCACTTGATGAAGACTTGTGACATGTAAGACTGAAAGATACATTTCATGTAAAAAAATATGTATCGTACTTTACGTCCACTTAGAGCAAGACCCTTTACTGATTGTCATATCTGTAAACTAAGTAACATAAACTAGAAAACCTATTGAGATCATTTTCGTTGAAGAAAAACAGTACTTTTCGCAATATGACGAATATAATATTACAGTCAGCTCAGTAATGCAGACACTCTGGTAGACGAATGGGTGTAATTATAATTGATAAACAGATATAAATTATGTCTATCAATAAAGAACACGGCCACTATCTTGTTTCTCTTCAAAACAATGTTAAATGATTAATTCACTGTCCCTACTGATTGAGAACTCTGTTTTACTAGAAACAGTCATACAACATTATGTACATGTACTTAGTATATAGTCTGTATATTACGGTACATTCTAGGCACCGTTGTGACCATCAGAGTCCAGTTTGGAAATTCCACATTGATCAAATAAACTCGTCGTTTGCCATCAAATCTTCATACTTGTCAACTCTCTCCTCAATTAAATCCATAATTTCAATATTTTTAACCGGTGAATTTGTTAAATCATTTTTTTTATCTTATAATTACTATGAAAACGTAACACAAAAGAATTTAATTTAAGGGTCATCTCTGAGACAGGGGGTGTACGACTAGTAAAGTAGTAACCCTCTCCTAAGGGACATTACGACGAAGCTGCCAATATGTTTGATAAAAGATTAGATATATTTACATCCATCTTTTAAAATAGCTTCTGTTGTCAACGTGTTCTAATGACCTGTTATCGCTCATGTCGAAGTAATGCTGAATATAACCGTACTGTTGGCCGTTACCTATACAATAACCGTACTGTTGGCCGTTACCTATACAATAACCGTAATGTTGGCCGTAACCTATACATTAACCGTAATGTTGGCCGTTACCTATACAATAACCGTACTGTTGGCCGTTACCTATACAATAACCGTACTGTTGGCCCTTACCTATACAATAACCGTACTGTTGGCCGTTACCTATACAATAACCGTACTGTTGGCCGTTACCTATACAATAACCGTACTGTTGGCCGTTACCTATACAATAACCGTACTGTTGGCCGTTACCTATACAATAACCGTACTGTTGACCGTTACCTATACAATAACCGTACTGTTGGCCGTTACCTATACAATAACCGTACTGTTGGCCGTTACCTATACAATAACCGTACAGTTGGCCGTTACCTATACAGTGACCGTACTTTTGGCCGTTACCTGTACAATTACCGTACTGTTGGCCGTTACCTATACAATAACCGTACTGTTGGCCGTTACCTATACAATAACCGTACTGTTGGCCGTTACCTTTACAATAACCGTACTGTTGGCCGTTACCTATACAATAACTGTACTGTTGGCCGTTACCTTTACAATAACGGTACTGTTGGCCGTAACCTATACAATAACCGTACTGTTGGCCATTACCTATACAATAACCGTACTGTTGGCCGTTACCTATAAAATAACCGTACTGCTGGCCGTTACCTATACAATAACAATTTCCGTACTGTTGGCCGTTACCTATACAATAACCGTACTGTTGGCCGATACCTATACAATAACCGTATTGTTGGCCGTTACCTATACAATTACCGTACTGTTGGCCCTTACCTATACAATATCCGTTCTGTTGGCCGTTACCTATAAAATACCCTTACTGTTGGCCGTAACCTATATATAACCTTACTGTTGGCCGTTACCTATACAATTACCGTACTGTTGGCCGTTACCAATACAATAACCGTACTGTTGACCGTTACCTATAAAATGACCGTACTGTTGGCCATTACCTATACAATAACCGTATTGTTGGCAGTTACCTATACAATAACCGTCCTGTTGGCCGTTACCTATACAATAACCGTACTGTTGGCCGTTACCTATACAATAACCTTACTGTTGGCCGTAACCTATATATAACCGTACTGTTGGCCGTTACCTATACAATAACCTACTGTTGGCCGTTACCTATACAATAACCGTACTGTTGACCGTTACCTATACAATAACCGTACTGTTGGCCGTTACCTATACAATAACCGTACTGTTGGCCGTTACCTATACAATAACCGTACTGTTGGCCGTTACCTTTACAATAACCGTCATGTTGGCCGTTACCTATACATTAACCGTAATGTTGGCCGTTACCTTTACAATAACCGTACTGTTGGCCGTTACCTATACAATAACCGTACTGTTGGCCGTTACCTTTACAATAACCGTACTGCTGGCCGTTACCTATACAGTCGTTCGGTATAGTCTACATCGTGATAGGCTTTTTAGCTTTTGTAGTTGTCTGGATTATGAATCATTAACTCGATACCAGGACGTCATGGTTTCATCTATAGTCTTAGTTATCACTTTCTCTGAAAGATAGTTCTAACTATTATAGTTGAACACGACATGTCATTTGCGATTCGAAATGATATTAGAGTTATGCCCCTTACAACGTCCGTAGTTCGGCTTAAATGGAAATGAAAAGCTTATTAAAACTCAAAAATACCTATTCAAATCGCACGCAGATTCTTCTTTATTATGTTTTTGTCTTTAAACGTTTTTGAATTAATTTTGGTATAATCATCAACGTTTCAAGTATCATTTTCCAGGGTCTGCTAAAATCAGGAAGTGATTTTTGATACATGTAAAAGTTAAACAAACAAACAAACAACAGCATATGAAGATCACATATAGATTTATATAACTGCTTTAAAATAATTATACAATAAATCATATACTGTTTTTGGTTCGAGATCAAAATTATGGCCATAAAATCCGAAAGGGTACTGTTGAAAAGCTAGCTTTACACGAGGTAAAATTTTGACAACAGCACACGACGCAAAATTGCAAAAAATCAAGTTTGACAACTTAACTTAGTCTGCAACCAAGTAGGTAATCTTTCATTTCAGACAGAACTTAGGAAAAAAAATACTAGTTGCGGGGGTTTTTGGGTCAAAAATAGCAATTTTTGGCATTTTTTGGTAATTTTTGATGTGGTAACCATGGTTTTCACACAAGTGACATACATAGAAAAAAGAGGTTTATACACTTCTCAGTACTTTATATTATTGTAAATGTAATGCAGTTTACAAACATATATACATGTATACATGTGTTGTGTTGGGTAAATCCGCTGTGTTTACATTTCCTCGACATGTGCCTTGTTGATCAGAGTCGGGCCATTTCCACTGTATACTGCTACCCTAGCCTGGGCTGTACACTTGATTTCTGGTCCCAATTTCATGATCAATTCTCAACTTTACAAACTATATTAAGGAACAATTTCTTTAACTGAATATTTTCCTTCGCCCAAATCATTATGTTTTGTTAAGGATTGGATTTCCTTTACGTTCATGTTCATTCGTAAAACCAGAAACCAGACAGTGTAATTATTCATGAGATCAACAGGCTATGACGAAACATTCACAATTCTTTGAAAACGAAAATGAATCAGTTCCAAATAGTCATTTAAGTATTAAAATTTACATTTACTTTGCATAAACCTACGAATCTAAAGTGTTACTTTATTTCAATAAAAGCATGAATCACGACATGTGAAAAGTTTCAATAGGAAACTGTTTGAATGTTTCCATCATTCTGGACGTGACGTCAAATTCAAACTATTAAGGAAATTCCCGAATGGCGGAACTGGTAACTATAGAAACCACGATCCTGTTCTCGCAAAATGTCTGTTCCGCCATTTCGTGAACCAGTTTGAGACCACAAAGAACGATAAAATAATTTAATTGTTTTGGTTGTTTTTAACGTAAACAGTTATGATTGAAAAAAAACTGTGACAGTTATGATGGCATGCGACACAGTTTCGTTCAAACATATTCCATCATGCGCGATAACTTCTGGAATGTACACAAAGCGGAAACAACATACATGTACAAAATGCATCTGTTAAGAGTATAAATATGTGGATAAATTTTGAGTGATAAGAACGTATGTTTATAACTTAGCTATGTACAGTGTTTATCACAATTAAGCTATGTATGTGAGAGCTTAGCTTTGTATATCCGTTATAATGCAACTGTTAGTCTGTTTATCCTGTATGTTTTATCTTCTATTTAAACCTACTAAATACTTATGATACGTGTTCATGCTGTCAGCTGTAGCAAAGGGAAATTATTCATATAATGTTTCTAGCAGTTAAAACTGGGTTTTGCCATACCTTAACATAACTTATAATTATTGGAAGTTATAACATGTCCACACATTCTACACATCCAAGTTTAGTTGTGTCCCTTTTCTCTCAGTTGTCCGAACAATCGTTTGGCAATGGATGAAGCCAGAGTTATGGTTCTTTGACCCCATGTGATAATTTTCGTTGACAGGTGGCGCAGCACTGAGAAGAATAGTACGTTTGTCTACACAGGTCTGGTACCAACAAATGGCAATTCTCTATACGATCACCATGACAATTGTCGTCTGTTAGGAGTAAAACAACATTTATAATCAGCTAGGTAACAGAGAATTCAAAGATTAGTGTACCGTTATTAATGAATAGGCGTACAACAGGATGAAGCTATGTCTGAGGTATTAGAAGGTATATTTAGGTTCCGGAACCGAGTCACAAACATTCAGGTTTTATGCACACCCATCTAGTAAATAATGGTTTTGTATCCTTATCATTTTCCTTTATTAATATGAAACAATCTAGAAACATGTAGGTTAGAGCCTGCAGGAATCTGAGAGAAAATCTTTAGGTAGATGGAATAGGAAATTCCAGATGTTATCCGAAAAGTGTGCAATATTTAGGTGGATAACTGCAGGAATCGGAAAGAAAATATACTTACTTGTACACAGTTCTCTCCACAGTGTATCAAGTAATAATTAGCACATGACAACAATTTAAGGAGTTTACATTTGTTGCCGAGTATTTGACCTTGACCTTTGTCAATGCTCTATAAATGCATTTACAAGTGCATTCAACATTTGCTGGGCTTGTTCTACTTTCTCGTACAGAGGATGGCATTTTGTTTTCAAATATTTGACCTTGACGTTTGTAAAATAATAAAATTACAATGAATTAACATAAAACATTTAGATATGTGGACCTGTTGTATTATCTCGTCCTTTCTATTTTGACCTTCACCTACCGTCTTGTTTGGGACAAGGTCGAAGAAAGCACCTTTCTGTGGTCTGCGGTTTCTCGTTCACATTACATCTGTCTGACGTCTGGTTGGCAAGGTAACACCTGACCTCCCTCGTTTTCGCCGCGTCTTCTCCACATGTTTCTGAACACTGTATGGAGGAAGGCAAACTTAGAGAAAAGAAGCGACGTGATTTTTTTTTATGTATGCGTGTATCAAAATCTCGTGTTTGAAGAGAGGATGATATTTGACCTTGTGTTTCACTGATTGATCACGTACTTTAAATAAAAATGACTACTAATAATTTAGGCAAATATACATTGGCAAAAAGAGTACACTTGGCGATAGTAAATCTATATTTTGTTTTGAATTTCAAGCAAAACCATCGTTTATGAGAAACTATCAAACACACACATATATAGATTATATATAATGCAACATAGAAGTCCTCGTTTTGAAGAAAAATTATCACGAAGAACAGTTATTCAGATGACCTTGACCTACCTCTGACCAGGTTGTAGTGAACCACATTACCCGGCATTCCTCCACGAAACAGGGCGTGGTAGACTGGGGTCGCGGAGAACGTTTACAGTTGACGTCAGACTGGAGGCGAAACTTTCCCCCCACGACAGAACCACATATTAGTTTCCGAGTTACCTCGCCCTTCCCGCAGTTCATATCACACTGTCAAAACGTGGACAAGAGATCGAGAAATAAACCTCATTTCAACTACCATTTAACAAGAGACATGTGTGTCCACTGTTCAAATACATTCACTGTACTACAGAATTATTAGAATTACGTCAAGAGGTCTATAGGTCTTTGCGAAGCCTTATGACATTCATTCTACTGACATAACATCCTATATCCCTGATATCCACCAATAATTCGATTGGAGGGTTTATAAAACTGATTTTGTTCAATTTCACAATTTCGGCTTCTTCTCCATCCAAAAGGATAGCATAACGTTTATTTCTGCAGTTACAACTCGTAATGAACAAGGAAAATTTGTACCAAATTTCAGGAATATTCGCACCAGATTTCAATGTAGTAAGTTCATTGTTAAATCTCAAAAGGATGTCCAAAATATATTTATTTCGGTATAATTGTAGTTAGCATCTTATTTTCCAGACCGGAAATCAGCCTGAAACTAAATTTCCGCTTTACAAAAACCATATTGTGGCATTTACATCTATGGTGGTTTTCGATTGTAGCAGTTGAGGAAATAAAATAGGAAATCCTTGAAGATTTTGCCAATTTCTACTTTTTTGGGCACATTCCCAATGTCCTTTGGGTCAGAATCTTAGTTTCACAACTTTGGTTTCATATGGTCGCAAGGAAGATTCTGAACAAATTTAAATGATCTATCGGTTCTTGAGAAAAAGCCGAAAATTTTAATGACGGACGATGGTGGATGTCAATAGGTCACATGTAGAGTAGTACAGTTTGAATTGAATTACCCCAGGCCTTCTGAATCTATAAAGGAATTAGTTTGAACAAATGTGACCCTTGTCAGCTTCAAATTTGGTCGAGATAACTTACTGCAGCAAACACATCCACCCTACGCCAGTTCGCGATCAAGGCAGTTATGGAAACAGAAAGTCGACGTTGACAAATCAGATGTAACGTCAGCGCCTACGTTGGAAGATATGGACTATAGTGACAGGGCAGCAACAGAGAGGTGGAAACTGGCGCAAGAGGATGATTGGCAAAAGAAATGTTTAAGGTTTATGTTACAGCAGCGGAGAAGGGATGCCACTGGTGGTATTCACTTGGGAACAGAGCAGAGAACAAACACGGTCATATATCAGGTGTTTGTATACAGTTGGAACGTCAAAGAGAAATATCTCGAATGCAATCACACATAGTTCATGCCTTTACTGTATACACTAGCATTGAAGAAAACTATCACGTTCTCCGTTTCACTATACCTACCTTGCCCCACGGCTGGGCCACCCAAGTTGGCGGACAGTATAGGGATTCACTACAGGCAATGGTGGACAACGGCTTCGTGTCAGGATCACAAAAATTCTCCGCCAGGAGGCGTCCCTGTGGATCCCTACAACCCACGTGTCGCTGACGTGTCCCTCTGCCACAGAGGCCCGAACACTAGGATAGAAATGGAGAAACATAGAAAAAATATTATTCTTTCGTTTTCTATAATGATTAAGCTCATATTATGACATTAAATGTAGACAAGCTGGAGAAATCGGTCACGTAGTGGAGATCAGACGTTTCCCCTCTTGGAGACCAAAGAAGAGTGTGCGAAACTGAACCAGCTACATGAACAAATGTAATGATATTCGGGGAATGATTCCTGCAGACCAATTTACCATATTCAGTCAGCGATAAAAAGAAACAAACGCAATCTGCCGATCAGTTATTTTTACTGACGCCAAACTAACAGATGATGTATATGGAAGTCCTACCAAAACAAGCTGCCGTACATGAGAGATGAGTTAAAGACAAAATTATGGTGTAAATTACTTAAAGGAGACAAACTGACGGTGTAAATTACTTACTGGAGACCACCTAATGGTGAAAATTACTTACTAGAGACCAACTGACGGTGTGAATAACTGGAAACCACCTGACGGTGTAAATTACTTACTTGAGAACAACTGACGGTGTAAATTACTGGAGACCAGCTGACGGTGCAAATTACTTACTTTATACTAACTGATGGTGTAAATTTCTTACTGGAGAACTACTGACGGTGTAAATTACTGGAGACCAACTGACGGTGTAAATTACTAACTTGAGACCAACTGATGTTGTAAATTACTTACTGGAAACCAACTAATGGTGTACATTACTTAATGGAGACCACCAACTGACGGTGTAATTTATTTACTTGAGACCAACTAATGGTGTAAAGTACTTACTGGAAACCAACTGATGGGGCAAATTACTAACTGAATACAAACTTACGGTGTACATTACTTACTGGAGACCAACTGATGGTGTAAATTACTGGAGACCAACTGATGGGATAAATTACTTACTGGAGACCAACTGACGGTGTAATTTACTGACTTGAGACCAACTGATGGTGTAAATTACTAACTGGATACAAATGCATGGTGTACATTACTAACTGGAGACCAACTGATGGTGTAAATTACTGGAGACCAACTGATGGGGTAAATTACTTACTGGAGTCCAACTGAAGGTGTAAATTACTGGAGACTAACTGATGGGGGAAATTACTGGAGACCAACTGATGGGGTAAATTACTTACTGGAGACCAACTGAAGGTGTAAATAACTGGAGACTAACTGATGGGGTAAATTACTGGAGACCAACTGATGGGGGAAATTACTTACTTGAGACCAACTGACGGTGTAATTTACTGACTTGAGACCAACTGATGGTGCAAATTACTTACTAGAGACCAACTGATGGTGTAAATTACTAACTGGAAACAAATGCATGGTGTACATTACTTACTGGAGACCAACTGACGATGTAAATTACTGCAGACCAGCTGACGGTGTAAATTACTTACTGAACACCAACTAATGGTGTAAATTACTTACTGGAGACCAACTGACGGTGTAAATAATTTACTGGAGACCAACTGACGGTGTAAATTAGTGGAGACCAACTGATGGTGTTAATTACTGGAGACCAACTGACGGTGTAAATTACTTACTGGAGACCAACTGATGGTGTAAATTACTTACTTGAGAACAACTGACGGTGTAAATTACTTACTTGAGAACAACTGACGGTGTAAATTACTGGAGACAAGCTGACGGTGCAAATTACTTACTTTATACTAACCGATGGTGTACATTTCTTATTCGAGAACAACTGACGGTGTAAATTACTGGACACCAACTGACGGTGTAAATTACTAACTTGAGACCAACTGATGTTGTAAATTACTTACTGGAAACCAACTAATGGTGTACATTACTTAATGGAGACCACCAACTGACGGTGTAATTTATTTACTTGAGACCAACTGATGGTGTAAAGTCCTTACTGGAAACCAACTGATGGGGCAAATTACTAACTGGATACAAACTGACGGTGTGAATTACTTACTGGAGACCAATTGAAGGTGTAAATTACTGGAGACCAACTGATGGGGTAAATTACTTACTTGAGACCAACTGACGGTGTAATTTACTGACTTGAGACCAACTGATGGTGTAAATTACTAACTGGATACAATTGCATGGTGTACATTACTTACTGGAGACCAACTGATGGTGTAAATTACTTCCTGGAAACCAGCTGACGGTGTAAATTACTTACTGAACACCAACTAATGGTGCTGACGGTGTAAATTACTTACTGGAGACCAACTGAAGATGTAAATTATTGCAGACCGGCTGACGGTGTAAATTACTTACTGAACACCAATTAATGCTGTAAATTACTTCCCGGAGACCAGCTGACGATGTAAATTACTGCAGTCCAGCTGACGGTGTAAATTACTTACTGAACACCAATTAATGGTGTAAATTACTTCCTGGAGACCAGCTGACGATGTAAATTACTGCAGACCAGCTGACGGTGTAAATTACTTACTGAACACCAATTAATGGTGTAAATTACTTACTGGAGACCAACTGACGGTGTACATTACTTAATGGAGACTACCAACTAACGGTGTAAAATACTTACTTGAGACTAACTGATGGTGTAAAATGTATTACTTAATACCAAATGACGGTGTAAATGACTAACTGGAGACCAACTGACGGTATAAATTACTAACTGGAGACCAACTGACGGTATAAATTACATACTGGAGACTAACTGATGGTGTAAATTACTAACTGGAGACCAACTGACGGTATACATTACTTACTGGAGACCAACTGACGGTGTACCACTGGTTCGTACACTGTGCCAGGTGACATGACCGCTTACTTAGTGGCCTTGACCGAGTTGAACAGTAAACATCACTTCCGCTACTACATCTGACGTGTCTTGTCTGGAAGCCATTTCCACACATCGACGTACACTGAAACATATGCCGTCATTCATTGCTGAGCACTAAATCAAATGATATCACACATTGTAGTGCACTAGAACAAATGAAATCATGCATTTTAGTGCATTGGTACAAATGACATCAGATTGTGCATATAACATCACACAGCTTGGCTCGCTGAAACAGGATAACGTCATAACAAATCAGTATTGAAAATAGCGCGCACATTTTATAAAACTGTTTTTTCTTTAAGATACATGTTTAGAGTCACTTCCATCCAACATTTTCCGTTTAAATGTTGAAATTGCTGAAGTATACATGAATAATTTTGACTAACCCAACGCTTAAATTACGGGAGGTGAATTTGAAAATACTCACTAGAGTATGTTTAATCTATTTTATTACGTACGAAGGGCGAATATTAGGAACAAAATGGCAAAATCAAACACAAACAAAACAGCGTGTCAGAAATTGAATAAACACCAATTGGAAATGCATCATAACTCCCAATAGAAATTATTACAAGTGTTAATCGACCTAAATATGTGTCCACAGACAACGCACGTGACCTTGGTACGAATACCGTAACTTGTTACCGAACTTGTTGAAACCGGATGAATTTAGAACAGAATCATGTGTGACCCCTACATGCCGATAACTCACTGACCTCTTGCCACTGAGAAACTTCCCATTGAGGGCCGCATGGAATGACGCCACACCTGCGAGACGACATCGGCTCCGCCCTTAGGTCACACAGGTAAGCGTGTACCGTACTGTCGAACCCGGGGGCTAGCATCTGCCAGCACCGTACAGACCGAACAGACTCCCCACCACCACATGTCCTGGAACAGGGCGCCCAGGGGCCAGTCACCCACCTGCAGGAGAAACCCCATTAAACTCGATTTCAGAAATATCATAATGAAAAAAATTAGAACACTACAAGATTTATATACAAAAAATTACTTCTTATCTAAAAAACCCACTAATATAATAATGGTAAAATAATGGGTTTGAAATCGAATGACAACGTATGCACATACATTATATATAGTACATGCACAGTTATTTGACCTTGGTTGGCATCGTTTCCGGCCACACTCGTGATACGTTGGGCTGGGACGCATGCTGACGTCGCATAAACTCTCATTGACCTGGACACCATCGTTCCGTTCACATCTAAACAAACTGATCTGTGTTCCTTTAAAAAAAAAAGATCAATTTTAAAACCTGAATCAATGAAACAATGGCGATTAAGGCAGCTGATAATAATCGTTACTTCAAAGGGGGTTGTAGTATTGTTTACGGAACAAATCTGTGGGGTTTTAATTTTAAGCATCACTATTAACTGTGAACAGTTCTTTTTCGTCGGATTTATATTTCGCGTGTTTGTCGGGCTGCTAAAACAGAGAAACATAACCTCCACGATGTATTAATGTTCTACAAAAACTGCCGAAATGACATTTTATATAAAGTTACAAATTATAGAAATATCATACTGTTATACTGCAATAAGAAAAAAAGAAAATATACCGAATGAACACGTAGAACTACATGGTGTGATGGTATTCTTCCGCCATTCATACACATCACTGCTATCTGTTCGCCGAAATAGTTCCTCGTTACCTTCCTCTAGAATGTATAAAGAAACTGTTATACCGAATATAAAAGTCCTACAAAACTTAATAGAATACATATATAAATCATTCCTAACTTTATACATAAAACAATACTTAACTTTATACAAAGGTATCAACGTTCATTGAATCAATGCATGAGGATGGGCCGATTATATGAACAATCAGTACCAGGAAATAATAACCGATAAGCAAAGACCGTCTTCTGTAAATGAATATGTAGCTATGATGCTGTTCTCACCTGTGTTGTCAACTTGTGTCGCGCCACTCCGGACACTAATACCGATACCCAGGCTCCGAGCTAAGTTATCCGACATACGGGCTCTGTTAGAATCTGAAAAAGATGCAAAGTAATTTACATTATATGGAAAATAAAGAGTTTCGTTTTAAGTATCACGGTTTGTTTCATTGGAGCCAGATATAGTGTATGGCTTCATAAAACGTATTTCCAAATTGTAGATTGATGCCCGCTAATTTTCCCTGAATGAGCCACAGAAATAGTGGGATTATTTTTGGTCGGTCGACTGCAAACGGCTATCTATAATTTCCAACTTCGTCTCATTTTTTTATCATTGTTATAGCACTTATCATTAGAATGTTCTCTCACTTGTGCTATTTGTTCAGAACTTGTTTATTTGAGTCCGGTGTAGAGGATCTTAAATGATCCTGTACTGGTAATAAACTTAACTTATAACGTTATGCATCGCCTTGAATAGTTGAATACTGCCGAAACATAGCGTGAACTTGTTTGTACATTGTAATGATATAAAAAGAAGTGCCGACTGACAGATCTGGCCGAGATTTAACAATGGAACATTTGATACGCTGTAGGACTTCTTCTGTGACTAAGTAATTTGGTTAATAATTGGAAACTAAAAGCATGTGTATTATAAAAACAACACATGCGCAGACATATCGTTTCACACTCGAAGTATTCCGAATAATGGATGAAACGTGGTACTAGACAGAATCTCGGAGATGGCGAATTCATGTACCAAATTACCTGTGTCATAGCTTTGGGTATCGCCAGCGTCATCAGTACGAAGGCTGCTAGGGATGGCGTCACGTTCGATGCTTACTGGGAGGAACTTTGGAACATTCTTTTTTCGCAATTTTAGCTTTCGTTTGCGTGAAAGGCGTTTTCTCTTTTTGGAACGAGGAGAGGGATTGTTGAGAACATCAAGGGTAGAAATGATTTCGACTGGAAGTGTGGTAGTAGTTTCTTTTGATACAGAAAGTACATTTAATTCGCGGACGTTTTCTTTTTCCGGCGCAGCTTTGACTTTTAGTCTTGACGTGTCTGTTGCACTGAAAAAGTCGACGCTAAGATAAAAAAAAATACGGAATAAGTTGAAACTCCATTCATATTTATACAGCGACAGTGCTTTAGGGTCATTTAAATCATAGTAACAATACTTATGGGGACAATTGCAACATAGTGGAAGTAGTTAGAATGTCAATAACAACATCGTAACAGTTCTTAGAATGTCATTTACAACATAGACACAGTTCTTTGAATGTCAATTACAACATAGACACAGTTCTTTGAATGTCAATTATAACATCGTAACCGTAGATAGAATGTCATTAACAACATCGTAACAGTAGATAGAATGTCATTTACAACATAGACACAGTTCTTTGAATGTCAATTACAACATAGACACAGTTCTTTGAATGTCGATTACAACATAGACACAGTTCTTTGAATGTCGATTACAACATAGACACAGTTATTTGAATGTCGATTACAACGTCGTAACAATACTAAGAATGTCAATTACAACATAGACACAGTTCTTTGAATGTCAATTACAACATCGTAACCGTAGATAGAATGTCATTAACAACATTGTAACAGTAGATAGAATGTCATTTACAACATAGACACAGTTCTTTGAATGTCAATTACAACATAGACACAGTTCTTTGAATGTCGATTACAACATAGACACAGTTCTTTGAATGTCGATTACAACATAGACACAGTTATTTGAATGTCGATTACAACGTCGTAACAATACTAAGAATGTCAATTACAACATAGACACAGTTCTTTGAATGTCAATTACAACATCGTAACAATACTTAGAATGTCAATTACAACTTAGACACAGTTCTTTGAATGTCGATTACAACGTCGTAACAGTAGTTAGAATGTCAATTACAACGTCGTAACAATACTAAGAGTGTCAATTACAACTTCGTAACAGTAGTTAGAATGTCAATTACAACATAGACACAGTTCTTTGAATGTCAATTACAACATAGACACAGTTATTTGAATGTCGATTACAACGTCGTAACAATACTAAGAATGTCAATTACAACATAGACACAGTTCTTTGAATGTCAATTACAACGTCGTNTAGATATAAAGTTAATTGCAAAATAGTGACAGTGCTTAGAATAGAATGTCAGTTATAACATTGTTACAATACTTAGAGTGCCAGTCGTCAGTCATAACATAGCAACAGTACTCATAGGGGAATTCAACTTTAATACTTAGGATACAAATTATTTTATTGTTAGTTACACAACTTATGATGCAAAAGAACTCTCACGTAGTATCAATTCTAATCTATATCACAACCTTCACCTTGTGGATGTATTCGATCTCGTGACGTCATTAGGTATAGGTCGTGGTGGAACAGGAAATCCTTTGACAGAGGCCACGTGTTGGTAAAGAAGCTTTTGCCAGTCGTAGCTTTCCTCTTGAGACGTAGATTCGATGACGTCATGCTCAGATGTACCAGCCTGCCTGGTGAGTTCGTACTCGATAGTGATGGTACTGTGTTGTTCCAGTGTAAATCCCTAACGACGAACAGGTCATGGTAGACATAGGTGTATATAGCTTACCAATATGTTAAACATGTACGACAGAGAAAACGCGTAATATAAATTGTTACAAACACCGGTGTTCAATCCTTCATGTCTTTGTGTATAAGGGTATACTTACGAGGATATTCAGGTTCTCAGAGTTGGGTCCCTCCCATCGGAGGGAGGAAGGACCGCCATTTTGGCTTTGCTGGTAATATATTACGGTACCCGCAATAGCAAACGTCCCGGCGAGACGCTCGCGTCTGTTGACGTCATTCAGGAAGAAGATACCATCAGAGGATTTTACAGCTGTAACATATAAAGATACAATCGGATCATCATCCAGTAAGATGGCCGATTTCAAAAAGGAAACTATCTTCCATATTATTAGCGTCATTTCATAGTGTCGTATCTTGTTACGTTCTAATGGGCATCCTGTTGGCTCAGCTGAAAATTAACATGAGGATTCGGTTGTGCTTCAAATGGTGTGTTTATTGGTTTTATTTTGTTGAACGTCCTAGTAACATGCAAGGTCATTTAAGGATGTATCACCAAGTGTGTATTGTATGCGTGCTGGAGGGACGGCATGTTGGTATATATGCATCTTTTCGATAGCACGGATCAGATGCCAACTTTGGAGTGCTACTTCTCAGGAGCCTGACAATTTGATACAGCTATATTGAGTTATTTTACACGTTTAAGGGGTTTAGAACAATTTTTGTTAAACATGCCATCATCATAGATATCTAATTCAAATAGATATCTCACTGCAATAGATAATTAACTTAAACAGATATCTAGCTAAAATAGATATATCACTGCAATAGATAACTAACTTAAAAAGATATCTAGCTAAAATAGATATCACTAGAATAGATGAACTATTTTGATATCTCACAAACATTGATATATCACTCATCAAAAGGTATTTATATATAAATATATTATATATAAAATAATTAAAAGTAAAAATTTCCGATACAAAATGTTGACATAGCAACAGCCGGAAGTACTAGTGACGTCAAACTGAACCCTTGTGTTCGGTATCAACTATTGCATGCCAGATCATGATTTGCTTCAACAATTGTGTCGGCTTCCCTAGTTCTATTTAAAGTACTATCCATTGTCAGTTTTTGGTTGTACTGTTTTGTATAGTCTCTATTTCGGTTGAGTGAAATGATTGTAGCCCTTCACTGTGATTTTATTATTTTTTTCTCTCTTTATTTTCTTATATTTTCATCATTCCTGGTATTAAAAAAATGATATTTTTTTAAAATAAAACTGTATACTAAAGTTATACAGACAAACATACCAGAGGATAAGGGCGGAAGAGAGAACGAAACACTAGAATAAAGAACATTGTCGTTGAAATTCTGTAACAAACAAAGTTTCAGGTACCTTGAACATTATTGTTGATATTTTTCTTTTATGAAAAATCTTCATTAGAATAAAACGTTGATCTCGGAGAACAGATACAGTACTGTATTTATATTTCCCTCTTCCCTCTTCCCTCTTCCCTCTTCCTTTTCCAGGGACAATAGTTGTATACAGTTTCAGTTAAAATTACACCAGACTTGCGTTTTGTTCGTCGCGACCAGAAAACCATACATTTATTTCTATTTTAGAGGCCTTCATGATTTAATGATCATATTTCTAGAACCCGAATATATATACATATGATTCTAATAGACTTGATCCCCTGTATTTAATACTCCTGTACACATCGGGGATTGAGAAAAGAACGTACCTGCTGTTACCAACTGCATTTTGTAAGAGGCAATCAAATGAGGGAACCCCCTGTAGAATAGGAGATTGGCTTCTGTGCTCTCTACTTGGGGACACAAAAGTGACCACAATATATCTCCTGTACCCACATCAACATTTTGAGTCTCCATAAAGATTCTCTACTTCCTAACAACATTTTGGGTCTCTATATAGATTCTCTACTTCCTAACAACAAATGGGGTTTCTATATAGATTCTCTACTTCCTAACAACATTGTGGGTCTCTATAGAGATTCTCTACTTCCTAACAACATTTTGGGTCTCTATATAGATTCTCTACTTCCTAACAACATTTTTGGTCTCTTTATAGATTCTCTACTTCCTAACAACATTTGTTTGTTTCTTAGCGCCTCTCTTGACAAAACCTCACTTTTGGCATTCGTGTTGAACGTTTGCCCAAGTAGGGAAGGCAATGGGTTCTGTCCCAAGGCTAGGACATACATTCTTGTACCTAAGTCTTAAAACATGGAAGTTGTTATTCCTCGCTGAAAGCGCAGCATTTAGGGTTATTTCAACAACCGGATTCCCATTTGTCAGTATTAAATTACGTCCTTAGATGATATAACCTGTTAAAGGGGACGCTAAATCAAATAAACCAAAATGAATGTAATACATGTTGCGACCAGTGGAATACTGTGCTAGGTGTCTTCAGTATGGTATCTCATTGAGGGATCACCCTAAAGTCGGAATCAGATCCGCACTACTGCAAGGCGGCGAATACACCTCCAACATACACGCATACGTTACAAACATGAACACATGTTCTTAAAGATTAGCTGTTAATAGGATGCTAAGCTAAATAAACAAAACTGTATGTAATACCTGTACAGCATAGTACGAGGAGATGACCTTTTCTATCAGATACAATATTAGTTTGGTTTGGTTTTATAGGGTTCCTATCAACAGTTAAGGTGTGACTCCATGCGTGCTGTGTATGCGTGCTTGTGTGTATGTTATTTACCTCCTTGCGATAGCGCGGCTCTGGTGCCGACTTTATAGTGCTACCTCACTGAAATACCAGGCCAAAGGCACCACATCTACTATATTTATCCTCGTTATTACAGGACCTTTTACTAGAACCTATATATACATGCAATGTATACAGACAAAGTGCATCTTATTTAAATACCAGCGCTGTTGGACCCGTAGTCTAGTACGGGGGCAAGACCATTTCTAACAAATACGATGTAACAGTTCTTACCGTATTTTATATTATGTTATATAAATATTATAGTTATATAAACATGTTGTGTGATATAAGCGTTCTTTGTGATCAAGTCACGCATCGTGTTGACATATAATTATATTAGTTACAGGCGAGTCAGCATTCACTTAGGGTACATACATAGGTGTATATGTATATATCTTTAAATAAAGTGGTCACTCAAGTTACAAATGAAAAAGTCGTGACGTCTCGGGGTGTTTGTACATTTGTATGTCATAAAAAATGATCTGGTTGCTATTTGCATACCCGATTCAAACGCAATTGCTCCATATGATGTTTCCCTCGTGTTTTTCAACGCGACAGGCCATCTTGTTCCGGCTTAATGTAAACGTTCAATAAAAAAACATGGATTGAATGAAAAATAAGATTGAAAAGACTTCAGTATTCGATTTCATTTTATCATGATCAGGTTGGGAAAAAATGGTTTTCATTTTATTTTAAATCTCACACTTACATAATCTGCTCGTACTCATATATATTCATGTCAATATACGAAGCCATTGAGCTTACTCCTTAGTGTGTACCTGTCTAGATGAGGACTGGGGACGTAATACTACATCATTACCTTTAACAATATTTACAAAACCACTATAACACGTAAGAGCTATATCCGTCTGCGTCACCTGTATAAGAAGTATTTTTCCTTCGTACTATTTTCTTGTGTAAACTGCGTGATTCGTCAACCGTGGAATTTACAGTTGCCCTTCACATATGCCTCTGTATGTCCCACATATTTACTGCCTTGTTTGTTAGACATGACTGCTTAGGCTGGTAAGTGTACTAGTTGAATTGTTTAACGTTACCTAACGAAACAGGGAGTTGTCGTGTGTCTAATTATCATCAGCTGAGAATGTATAACGCCTTGTACTCTCACTGATTGAATATGATCGTATCTTTCTTGCATAAATTAAAAAGCTGAAAATAGGCCGTTCGCTGCAGTATACAGGTAACTATATGTGTGTGTCCCTACATACACAGCTATTAATTTGACCCCTGTTATTATGTTGTTTTCAGTTATATATAAGTTAACACAAAGACATTACTTGTTCAGGTAGCTATAGCCTTAAGGTGATAGAAATTTGGGTCAAACTTTTAAAATAATATCGACTGCAGAGAAAGGTATTTTATGTGTATTGTATTCAATGTATATATGTGTGTTTGTAGATAAGGACCATCACCCCGGGACTGATATTGTAACATCGGATGAGAAGCGAGTCAGTCATCGGAGGAAAGGTGAGTCAATCGTTCACTTTACATAGTAATTACAGTTGATATACTTGCTTACATAAAGTGACCATCTTCAACAAGACAACGATCGTATAAACATGAAGCATATGATGACGAGACAAGTCCTGAAGTGGACGTTACTTGTATGAGTGTCACGTTTAGTGTCCCAAGCATACACTGCTGTACAGGATAATAGTGTTGTTTATGACCTATGAACCACTATTTACGTGTTCACGGAATAATAAAACAATATATCGGTTCAGGAAATATTTGTTAACGTATATGAGTAATTATGGTGAACAAAAGTCCCACTCATTCAGAGTTATTTAGTTTACTTCCGGTTTGTACACATGCTGTACTCGTTACGTATGTATCCATAACGTAAGTTTATTTTATTTTTGGTATATTATTGACTGGAGTTAACATATTCTACATCCGGTAAACATCTATAACGTCAGCAAACTCTGCTTTCGGTAAAAATCAATTACTTAAGCTTACTCAACTTTCACGTAATCACGTTACCATACTCCAGTTCCGGTATAAAAGAGTAATGTTTGTATTCTCTACTTCCGGAATAAATCAATATTTTCAATCATGAAACCATACTTTAGTTCTGGTATATATATACCAATAATGCTCGCATACTTTACTTCCGGTATATATCAATATTGTCGACATACTGTACTTTCGGTTTACATGTATATCAATAATATCAGTATGTTTTACTTCCGATATATATCAACAACGCTAGCACACTGTTCTTCAACTTTAAATCTATAACGTATATTTAATCAACCTATCGTCCGCTGGATAACCGAACTACTCGATAGTGAAGGGGACGTAAAGACAATCGATCACTATTGAACCTTCGGTATAACATATCTCTAACGATGGTAGTTAAGTGTACTTCCGGTATAAACTATATTCGTGCTATATAGGTATACATGGAAAGCTGTACCGAACCATCCTTATTTGGTATTCAGTCAACTGAAGGTATTTTATTGGGGTCATATGTGTATTTTGTTGTGTATATTTTGTACATACTGACAAGAGATTGCCCGCCATAAAATTAATGCCTCATCACAGGCGGGGGATGTCGTAGGCTGGTGCTAATTTACTCGCTGTGGATGTACGTAGTTACACTATCTTACATACTGCACTTTCAGGTAGACACACACTTCTTTGAATAAACATACAATGTAGGTAATGACTATCACGTGAATTAACTCATTTGAATACAGGGAAAACGTGAGGTTGATATTGTATATTGTTTTACATACAGGCTAACATTAGCTGTAAAAAAACGCTAAAGAAGACTTAAATTGCAATCATAATTTTGAATGTTTTATGAGAAGTTAAAGTGTTGAATGTATAGTTAGCCTGGTTAGCCTTACAGTACACTCTAAAAACGAAAAAAAAATCTTTGGCAAACCAGTGGAGGGAAACATAGCTATACGAAACTCGACCCAACAGGATATGTGGTTGTAACTAGATACAAATAAAAAATATAAAGCAGTTTTGTCACAAAGAAATTATCCACTAACTTATTATAAATCATATCGTGAGTTACTTGCGTTTTAACAATGCAGCATTGTTTAGAATTCATTTGTTTGAATCTCGTGTCCCAAAAGTCATTATTTCAACTACACCTGGTCTCCTTAAACAAAACATATTCGTTCGCACGTATTGTCGTTTCTGACAAGCCCATAACATCTTATCTGTTTAGTTTTACTTAAAATGTAGTTCATTCATTTTTCGTATGTTTATTTACTGTTCTCAATGTTGATATATTTCCAGGTGGTATTCGCGTGGAAAGTGTACCATGGGAGACGAAACGGACGTTTTGTTAGGGTCACGCATCCCAATTTCAATCGTCGCCATCTTGACGAACGTCACATCTCTCATCATTGTCTTCACATCGACGAGCTTACATACGAACGGCTTCATTCGGAACATCCTCAGCCTGTGTGTTTCAGATCTCCTCACAGCCGTCTTCGTAATTCCAATAAGTTTGATATATCATGGGAGTGTTAGTATTAATCGTGGGAGCGAGGTTTGCAACGCATGGTCGAGATTGGCTTACTGCAATAGAGCACTCTCCTGTTTCATCCTCGTCACCATGTGTATCTTCTGTCTCGTCAGTAAGCTCCACAACAATCGACGGATTAAGTTACGCGTTTACAAAATGATCGAGGTTGCTCTGGTAATCATTCCATGGCTCTTTGTTTTAGTGGCGTATGTACCACTGTTTCTTATTGAGCAAAACAATACAAAGTCTGGAGACGATTTTGCAGAGCAACTATGCTTTTTCACAAACACTAATTATCAATTCCCGCTGACTGTTATCTTTTTAGTTTTTCCACCATGTTTACTCATACTCACAATCATTGTGATGCATGTCATGTATAAAGTGATGCAACGTAAATCAGAACACCCACAGGAACCTGATACAGAAACGGAAGTAGATGGACGTTTGCGCATGTTTACTATTGGCACGTGGCTTGTGAGTTTGATGACAATTTGTTGTTGGATTCCGTTTATCATTGTGATGATTCTCCTACTATTCTGTCGCTCCTCGACATCGTCTATCGCCTCGTGTTACCCCTCGTTACACGCTATCGACACCACGTATACAATATCACTCGTCCCTTCAACACTCACGCCATTGTGTTGGCTTTGTATAAGAGCATTCCGTGTCAGGGCGTCCTTAATGACATCATGTGTTACACAAGCCTGCAGGTGTGGACAATCCATTAACTGTACCAACTGTACTCACTGTCAGAAATCAACCACCGGTGATGATATAAATGCTCTAACAGAGTACTGACAGTTGTCAATATTGGTATATATATTTATATAATATTTTGGATAAATCTTCAACGATGTTGCCATACTTATAAATTAACAAATTATACGTAAAGATCAAGTACCGTGCATGATATTGATATAAATAAAATTCTTGACCAAGTGATGAGTATCTTACACGGTATGGTAGCAGAGTACAGTAGAAATGGCTTGATCCTAAAAATAAAGGACATGTCTCAGATAAACGTGGATAGTGGATTTATCCTGCACATCACACCTACATATATATATATATTTATAAACTACATTTTGAATACATTTTTTTTCCAAGAATGATTTTGTTTTCAAAAAGTGATTTCCCCTGATTTGGGACTTGTGAAAACCATGGTTACCTCATCAAAAAACGCCAAAATTTGACCCTACTCGGTAACAGAAATACTCACGTTTTAATATACATGTAGGTCGTTCAACTGGATTTTTCATAATATTTACACATGTGCTGAGTACAAAAATAGACTACATGAAAAGATATAGCTTTTGTTGTGTAGACACAGATTTGTAAATGGCCAAAAATGTTGTCTCAAACCAAATTCGATTTCTTTTTTAAATGTGAAGCCCATATAGTCCACTTCATCATGTATATGCCTATTTCAGTGCTGATTTTTTTTTAAACTTTGATACATGAAATATTACATGGGTTATTCATTGTACAAAAATATCACCCATGGCCACCGTCCGCTACTGTACACTGCTACCTTATACATAACTTTTTTTCCCCAAAATTTAATTATCTTCATTTAAATGTCTGGAAAATGTCAAAATGAACAAAACGTTGTATCCGTTTCCTTTCTCACTTTAATATTGACCTAGTTATATGAATTCTTCTGACAGGTGATTTTTTACCAATTCTGCTCTCAAACTAACAACAAAGGGAGGTAATCTGAAAAATGAAAACTTGAATATGTTTGTAGTTTTCATGAATAAACTTTCTTTTTGTGTGAAATATGATGCTTTGAGATCATGTGCATGTGAAAAACAAAACAGTACAGTGATACTATGATGTTTCTGTCTTGTTTGATGACGGCTTAGTAACTGTGATGTCATCATAACTATGACGTCATCAATGGGCATCTATGACATCATCAAGGCTCACTGATATCAAAATGAACACTAGGAAACCCATCACAACAACAAACTAGCAACAGACACACTTCCCGTAACCGATGAACAGCACCAAAATGTCAGATATTCTGAAAAATCAGACAAGTGCCACCTTAGCAACCGTTATTTCCTTTCCTCGCCTAGAATTGACAGTGACTCTCAGAAATTGTTCATTTAACATATTTCGCTAGAAAAAAAAAGATTTTCTGCAGCTGTAATTATGTAAATAAAATTTATTGACATTACTGACTTTGCTAATTTAATCTGTTTGCTGAATCAAGTGGTGAAAAAACATCTAAAATAGTGTAAATAGAATGAAAACAGATATTTTACCCATTACCAATAAATACAACTTTATGTATTAGTAACCATGGATACCGGGTCCTGAACTGAGTGAAACAGACTGAAATCTAGTCTGAATGTATTAGGGTATAGCCTGTGAAATTATTTGTTGTTTGGTATAAACTTTACCAATAACACAATTGACACATATGTGATGAATTGTGAAGTGCCAGTGAAAAGGGCGAGTTACCCCCCTTTATAAATACACAGGTAATAGGCTATTACCCTATATTTTGACCTATATTTGTAACCTTTTTAACGTTTTTAAGTAGTTTTAAGCAATAATGAATGAAAGTGAAGCTGAATCAAGCATAAAAAGGCATTTCTTTTCAGAAAAAAAATCAATTTCTATGTGTATGAGATAGCAGAATACAGTAGAAATGGCTCGATCCTAAAAACAAAGGGCATGTTACTGATATACATGGATTAGCGGATTTATCCTGCACAACACACATATATATATATATATATAAATAAATAAAACAAAACACGAAGACTAGTATAATCGGCCAGCGCTTTCGCCCATCTTGGGGCTCTTCAGGCGATTTAAATTTATTTGTGACGTCATAAATGGAGTACACATTCTTAAGACGTCCAAATTAATGACGTCATAAACAAAGTACACATAATGCGGACATCTAGAAATTGCGACGTCTTAAAAAAGATTACATGAGTTAAAAACATCTGATAGTAAAAACGAATTTCAACGGACAACACTTAGTTCAACCGAACATATTAAACATACGGAATTTACAAATTACAGCATATATTACATTTCTTGATTTACAATTCATATTCCATCTCATTTCAAATGTTTTGCCATTCTTAAAAACCAACGATTTTACACTCAACATATGTTCCACATCTCGGTTTCATACACTTTGTCACGCTGTAATTTATATTTATTTTCTCATCAAATTTTGACTTGCACAATATACGTTTCAGATTCTTTGGTTGTCTTTTGCAATTAATTATTTTCTTCTTCTCCAAGACACGTTTCATTTTTTTGCTATTCTTTAAAATTTCTTCGTGAACTTTGGAAATTGGAAACATGTTAAAATTGTTAGGGTTGAATGTTGTAACAAACGGTATAATATCCTTTTGACTTGTATTGACACTATTTGGGTCGGTAACTGAAATCGGACCCTTCTCCTTAGCTCTTTGAATACCGTTAAATATAATTTCGTCTGGATAGCATTGTTTTCTAAGATTATCTACTAAATTATTCAATTGCTCCTCTAACTTATATTTATCACTGACTATGGTAACTAATCTAGATGCCAAACAAAATGGTATGTTAACTTTTGTATGTTTGGCGTGACTGGAATGAAAGCAAAGATAGTTCTGGGAATCAGTTGGTTTGTAGATATGTGACCGTTTGTTAATTCTACCAAAACATCTAGAATTCTACCGAAACATCTAGAAAAGGAAGTTTATCATCACTAATTTCCATAGTATACTGTATATCCGAGTGTAAGGAATCTAACTCTGAATGAAAATCAGAGACATTCTTGTCCGGGGGACAGATGATAAAACCATCATATAAAAATCTCAAAAAACTGTTTTTCAAAAAATCGGAAAATTCTTTATCAGAACTTTTCTATTTTGTCATAAAGAATCTCTTCAAAATATCTTTACGCTAAAGTAGCATAAGTAGGGGCAACTTTAGTACACATTGCCGTACCCTTACATCGCTGAAAATGGTTATCATTGAAATAAAACGTGTTTCTTTCTAGAACAATTTTGAGAGCGCTTATTATAAATTCTTTTCTAAATCTTCCGTTTACATATTCCGGATATCTCTGTAACCAATATTTAACAGCCTGTATACCTAAATCATGTGATATGTTAGTATAAAGGCCAACTACATCAAAAGAGACCAATTTGGAACTAATTGTCACTGTCTTAGGTAGACGAGGTAAAAAGTCAAAATCGTCCTTAATGAAACTTTTAACAGTTGGACATAGTGGTTTTAAGATTATATCCAGAAAATGACTCAGACGTTGCGTAACACTTTCGGGACCGCCAACAATAGGCCTAAATCTTAAATCATCCGGACAAAATATAGAAACGTATTCTGAATTCTGCTCCGTAAAAGCATTAGAAATTATTTTACTCTTATGTATCTTAGGTACATTATTGTAGTCCATAAAAATTACTCGTACGAAACGAAAAATTTGTGAGGTAATCAATCTCTTCCTCCATTAGACCTTCACTCCAACGATCTACGACATTCTTGATAAGTTTCATTGTATCAGAATCAATATTTTCAGATGTGATTTGATAGAACTCCTCATCACACAGCATTTCTAAGATTGTATCACGATAGTACTCACTATCCATAACAACAACCATACCTCCTTTATCCGCCTCTTTAATTACAATAGACTTATCACCAATCAAACTTTCGTTTGTTTTACGTTGTTTGAAGGAAAAAAATATTTTTAACCTTGTTACGTGGCAAAGGATGCATTTTCAGAGCTTCAATAGTGAATTCTAAGTACGAATCACTACTTTTTGGAGGATTCCATTTATATTTGTTTCTCACTAAACCTTCATTATCAGGAGAATCCTCTTTAACACAATTTTTTTCTTTTAAACGCAGTTTGCTGCAAAAATGTAACATACCTCTTTTAAGGTCTTCGTCATCATATTTTGGTGTGTTGGACAAAATTTCAAACGTTTTTTCAATAACTCAATTTCATCCTCAGTTAAAATTTTACTTGATAAATTGATGACTTTAGGTTGAATTTTAACATGTGTACCACTGTTTTGTTACGTATACACGAGTTTTTTGGTGAACCTGGTCCTTTGTACCGCCTTTGTTTATGTGTCCTCGCTGTCCCAAAAAACACTTTTTTTCCAATAAGTGTTTCAGTGTTTCATATATATATATATTTATAGGCTACATTTTGAATACATATGTTTTCCAAGAATGATTTTATTTTCAAAAAGTGATTTCCCCAGATTTGGGACCAAATTCGATTTATTTTTTAATGTGAAGACCATATAGTCCACTTCATCATGTATATGCCAATATTTAGTGCTGATTTGTTTTTTGAACTTTGATACATGTTATATTACAGGGGTTATTCATTGTACAAAAATATCACCCATGGCCACCGTACGCTACTGTACACTGCTACCTATGTAATATAAATGAAAGAAAAGTATATAAAAGTAGGTTTTTTGTGTGTGACTTGCATGGTATTTCTCTAATTGGCGTACATTACTGTTTATATTTATATACTGGAAGAGATATATTTTAGTTAGGGGTTATGGATTCATTTGTTTACTTATAAGCCTTTATAAGGGGATATGGAGAAGTCGAGGTGTAAATTATAATTAATGAGATATCGCATTACTCAGTGGTTCAAAATTAAGACCCAAAGAAAAAGGAATCCCATCAACTGCAGATAACGTAATCCAGTGCCTAGGGAAGTGACATTATTAGTACTCAGAAACAGGAAGTGAAGAGGTTGAGGAAGACGAATAAGTTAGAATAACAATGAAGTACATAGAAGGCAACAATGGAAGGTCTAAAGAGGCTCCGACATAGTGGGAGGTCTATATTACATCCGGCAACAGTAGAAGATCTATATATAATCTGATAACAGTGGAAGGTCTAAAGAAGCTCTGACACAGTGGGAGGTCTATATTACATCCGGCAACAGTAGAAGATCTATATATAATCTGATAACAGTGGAAGATCTAGAGAGGCTCTGATATAATGGGAGATTTAGATACAATGTAATATTCGACAAAAGTGGAAGGTTTAGATAGAGTCAGACAACAGTGGAGGGCGAAGAGATTCACCTGGAGTACCTTTTTTTCCCTCCAGCAGTGACCTCTACAGCCACCGTTGTACAATTTACATCATACAGGGGCCTTTCAATTAGTAATGTCAAAAGCGTCAGGAAGCACATGTATGATTTACATAGTTGGATTTTTCTATTACAATCCTTCGTAGTATCCCCCTAAGCAGAAATGCACTTTCGAAATCGCGCTAACCATGACTTGAACGCTGCGTGGTAGTCTATCCTTGGTATACTGTTAAAACACTGGCAGATTGTGTGGTAGTCTACCCTTGGTATACTGTGAAGACACTGGCAGACTGTGTGGAAGTCTCCCCTTGGTATACTGCGTGGTAGTCTACCCTTGGTATACTGTGAAGACACTGGCAGATTGTGTGGTAGTCTCCCCTTGGTATACTATTAAGACACTGGCAGATTGTGTGGTAGTCTCCCCTTGGTATACTGCGTGGTATCACCCCTTGGTATACTGTGAAGACACTGGCAGATTGCACTAACCAGAGCATTTTACGAGACATACCGTTTCCCAGAGAGCCTTTTCTTTAGTAAAGGAAACAGGTCAAAATGGACTTAGATCTGGCGAATAGGGTTGGTGGTCAATCTGTATTTCCTTCTCTTGCTTCAAAAACGCCTGTTCAATATTTCTGTCGTGGGATGAAGCATTGTCGTGAATTAACTGGATACCAACACTTTACTTGGAAGCTTTTGATGTAGAATCCTTTTACAACTTGGTCTTTTGTCTCTGGAAAACTTGTCAGTGGTAGTGTCTCCTTCATTGCACGGTATCTGAGTCTAATGCCCACTAGATTGGGCAAAATGGCATACAAAACGTTCTTGGCGCTTTTTAAACGTCTTGCAATCACTGACATTTCATGATTTCTCGATAACTATTGCTTGTTATCAATGCGCCTCTGGGGTTCAAAGTAATAGACCCTGGTCTCATCTATTGTAAGCAACTCAGCTAGCTTTCTTGAGCCGCACTATCTGGGTGCTTTTTTTCAATACATATTTAGTGCATTTAAAACGTTTGACCTTTTGTTTAGATGTCAGCAAATGGGTGATCAATCGGACAGAACGCTTATATATTTTCAAGCACTTGATCAGAATGTGATGTATACTGCCTTCTGAAATGCCAACCGTAAGAGCTATCACTGAAACATTATAACGACTATCATCCTTAACTATTGCTTTCACAGCAGCAATGTTACTGCAACAACTGGTCTGTCTGGCCGTGTGTTCAATGTGATATCAACTTTATCGTTCTTGAATTTGTTCATCCACCTGAAAACTGTTCTCAATGGGACGGCAGAGGTGCCTTCGTGCTGCACAGTTCTCCATGTATCTATTAAGCAGTATCTGTAATATATAGGTATATGTATTCATATAGGAGCGTATTTCAGATTTAGTTTCAACCTGCCTTTTAGTATTGAAAAGTAGCTCCGAGCGCATACCATTCAACAATGAATAACGTGTTCAATTCTTGTCGGATTCTGTCAGAACTTTGCACGTTCATTGGTTTTTTAATGTATTTGAAGCCTGCCAACTATTTCGTTGTTCGACCCTCGCACCGGTGGTCAAGGAGTTCAAAGTGACCGGGGCTAGGCATATTTTATCCTTGTGAATTTTTAAGCAAAAAAAAGTCTATAACAAAGTAATCAAGACTATGAAAGGCAGAAATTGTTCTGCAAGTCGGTCTGTATAGAAGGTAAATTGCGCTGGAAAGAGGCAGTCTATCCAGGAAGACAAGCCTAAGGGACGTCACATTGCTGAGATGGGGAAAAGGCAGCCTATCTAGGAAGACAAGCCTAAGGGACGTCACATTGCTGAGATGGGGAAGAGGCAGTCTATCTAGGAAGAGGAGCCCAAGGGACGTCACATCGCTGAGATGGGGAAGGAGGAGCAGTGTACAGGCATTACTCTATAGGGAAGAAAGAGCAAGGTAAAAAAAACCAGTCGGGCCGTAGAGATCGGATCTCTAGAATAATGGGCAATAGTAAAGCTATCAGAAAGGATATTATATTGAATAACCGTTCACAAATCTACGAACCACTGAGGATACAATAGTAGATATTTTCGTTTTTTATGAATCTTTGGTGGTAAGGTTCGCATATCTGAGGTATCTCTTATAAATGATTGTTCATTGTCTGGGGAGTTTCTTATATGTAAAATAAAGAAATTGAAGAGCCTCTGAAACATGTTTGTATTTGGATACATTTTTGGCACACTGTAACTATTACTAGATTTTAAAGGTGAAATCATCCGTGCGTGTGTCTTGTTCATCTTTCAAGATACAAGTTGTAGACTCTGCTGGTGGAGTTTTTGGTCCCCGCTGTTTGGTCAACGTGTTGGCCCCTAGCAACACCGGTGAGTCTTATAACGACCGACCAAGCAGCTGTGTGAGGCAGTGTAGTCCATTTTTGACTAACTGTGTCTATTACTGTGTCTGTCTATTACTGTGTCTATTACTGTGTCTGTCTATTACTGTGTCTATTACTGTGTCTATTACCAAATGTTAAAGGTACACTCACATGTGTGTGTATTACGTCCATCTTTGTAGATATAAATCGGGGGTCTGTGAATAACAACGTTCTTTAATTTATCTCGGACCAATTCCAACATGGAATGCCTAATAATACATCACCAAAGTAACAACGGCATCGAGAATGCAGAACAGTCATGAAGGAGGTTCGGGGTTTAAGAACACCTCACTTGGGAGATTCCATGACCTATAGAGGTAACGAGAGGAACTGGAAGTGGGTTGTGTGTGCTTTTTATCCCCGTATGAATCAAGCAACAATAATCGAGCAAATGATGATAAAGTTGAACGTGAGATTGTGACCTATTATGGATTTATGTAATATGTTTTGTCATTAAAATAACAAAAAGTTCAATCAGTAATACACAATATATGATACAATATTTGTAAATACTTGTAATGGACACTTAAATCCAGGTACAAAGTTCAGAATGTTGATACATGTATATCCTGTGAAATGATGTACTCTTTAAGATCCGCCTTCACCAGTTGTCTCGGCTATACCGTAAGTTAACGCTCCCAATACAGACGGGTGCATTGTATGACAAAAGACAGGGAGCTCTGTCTAGGTAAATCATTACAATTCATTATCTGCTACCCAAGTCAACAGTTACTCGTTTCAATCATTTCATTGGTTGCCTTTCTCAATTATGTCTTTCTTTTGTAACAGATTGTACTGTTTCATTATGAGTTATAACCGTAATGGTCCATTCGAATCTTTACTTTCTGTGACTGGTTTCTATAAGAAAGTATTTGTAATCACATTGGGCGTAGAATTGGATAGTTTTGTCCGTCGCTAGTGCAAAGAATCCTTTTTGAGTCAAAGACAAAGACAAGACCTAGTTAGAATCTAAAATAGAAATATACACCAATAGACATACGTGTTGTGGTTGACTATGGACGAGCTCCTCTTTGACCTAACCAACTAGACAGACGTCATACCACACAACTCCTGTAGTATTACACCTAACAAGACAGACTGACGTACGCATACTCTACTTTTCTATATAGCATTACAACTGCTTACATGAACGATGTCAAACAACGATGACAGGTTACTTACCGGATGCTACTGACAGGTTACTTACCGGATGCTACTAACAGGTTACTTACCGGATGCTACTAACAGGTTACTTACCTGACGGGTTACTTACCGGATGCTACTAACAGGTTACTTACCGGATGCTACTTACAGGTTACTTACCGGATGTTACTGACAGGGTACTTACCTGACGGGTTACTTTCCGGATGTTACTGACAGGTTACTTACCTGACGGGTTACTTACCGGATGCTACTGACAGGTTACCTACCTGACAGGTAACTTACCGGATGTAACTGACAGGTTACTTACTGGATGTCACGGACAGGTTACTTACCGGATGTTACTGAAAGGTTACTTACCCGACAGGTTACTTACTGGATGTAACTGACAGGTAACTTACCTGACAGGTAACTTACCGGATGTAACTGACAGGTTACTTACCTGACAGGTAACTTACCGGATGATACTGACAGGTCACTTACCGGATGTTACTGACAGGTCACTTACCGTATGTAACTGACAGGTTACTTACCGGATGCTTCTGATATCTTACTGAATGTAACCTATTGGGATCTCTCTAAATGTTACTGGCTAGGCTATTACTGGAAGTTACTGACTGATATATGAGAATGAATAGTAATGTGAGGGGCAAAGCTATGATAATACTGAATGCTATATGATAAGAAAAACCAAACAACTAATAATTCCAGAATATTGCCGGCTACAAAACGGACGTTTTATAATAATACACAGCACAAAAAGAAGCGTGGCAAAGATCAACCTTGAGACACAAAGGAGGAGGAGAGCTTATGAAAGATATCACAGTATCAGATACTGTCACTATAACCATTAACATTAATTGGGCAACCGACTATGACGTCACGTCAATTTAGCGCCTGTCCAGTACATTGATGTAGTTGGAGGTCCTGTACACGTTGACCTTTCCCTGTAATTTATCTCCAACCCAGAGAACTCCCGAAGGACCACATGCCACCAAAAAGGGACTATACAATGCCTCTCGGTCCTCTTCTAAAACCACGAATCCACGGAATAACCCATCGTGGTCGAGTACAAATATTGTGGACGTTGCTTCCTCCACAACTATGATATTTCCCTCTGCATCACAACATAGTCCAGCTGGTTTTAAACTGGACTGGGGCCAGTTGTCTCCCAGAATCGACCGGAGTGTCACTTGATCATTGCTTCTTCCCTTGAAGTCTCCGATACGTAAGCCAGTATCAGTAAGTAACGAGACTAACCTGCGATCAACGTCTGTGAAACATATGCGATTTTTAAATGTGTTTATAGATACGCATGCAGGTTGAAAATTCATATATTCGTCTCCGATCCTTTTTATGATAGTTCCGTGGCTGGAGAATAGCAATAACTGTCCGTACTCGTTCCTGATGCTTGAGGAACCCGAAGTATTAACGCCTGCTACAACCAAGCGGTCATCATCCAGACATGCCATCTCGCTACCCCTGAAATCAATCAAGGTAGTGAACGTGGAATACGTATTTGTTACTGTACGGTAGGACAGTATCTCACTAATTTCAGTTGCTAACAGAAGCAAAGACCCTTCTTGCCTATGAGTGATATCGTGTATGTTTACTCGAGGCATCACAATATACTGGTCTACGATTTGTCCACTCGGCAACATTTTATTGATAACATTGCTGCAGTCTGCTACTACCAGGCAATGCCCGCTAGGAGTTGAACAAAGACATGAAATACTTCGTGCCTCGTCTATAACGGTACTAGACAACAAGTCAAAGTGATAATGCGTCTTTGTGTGGTCGCGCGGAAACCTCAAATCTCGCGGTGTTGTCCACTGTTGTTCGTCTATTCTTCGATTTTCATCCGAACCTTCCCCGTCTTCCTCTAGATCGTCGACGAACGTGGTACCACCGGAGTCGGGAGCAGTCTCCTTGTCCTGACTTACCTCAGTGGTACTGCTCTGTTTGTAGTTCGTTACTCCGTGATCACCGACGAAATAGTTAGTATGAAAGCCTGGTATTCCTTTGGGTGTTAGATCGATCTTTGTCCGGCACAAAGGACATACCAATTGTCTTTTATCTTGGTGCTTAGACGATTTTCTGTGTTTTTCTAGACACACTCTACAGAACGTGTGCCGACACGGCAGTAACTTAGGTTCATTGTACACATCTAAACAGACGGGGCAGCAGTCGTCACTCCCGATCGCTAGTTTAGATACTGACATTTCTGTTTTCGTGCTGAGAATTTCGCTTATTCAAATCTTAATTTCAAATTGTCAATAACATCATGAGTTGGATATAACAGTCGTTCTCCTCACAACCGCTTTCCTTATTTTAATCTGAAACAAAACGGACTTCATAAGTTATAACAATCTTAAACAATAAAACAAAAAAACTCTTTTGAAAGTTCGAAGTATCACAACGTTATCAAACTACACACTACACAATGAAATCGTATTCTTTGTAATGTATTAACCATGTATTTTATATTGACATTCTGTACATGTGTATTTAGTGGAACAGAACTTTTCACAGTTGGCCATTCGTTATACAGTATGACATCATCTGTTAATACATGTACGATATTTTTGCGTCCTCTTGACCAATATCTCAGGTACCCATTCATTTATCATCCACCCATATCCATTCTACCAGGTGCTGCTTCTCTGCCCCATCGGGTGGCACACTCTGAGCTCATGCAACTTTGGGGGAGGGGGGAAAGAGGGACAATATAAAGTTGACAGTGAAATGACGCCGCGTCATGTCATAAGCTGACTTACTCTTCTCAGGTTCACTTGAGTTACAGTTATTAACGAAATGTTTTCCTTCGCAGTTTTAAAAAATCCAATTCGATCATGGACATGTGTACCTTTCCTCTGGTCATGTAATGGTTATGCCCGAAATAAGTTTGTCAGGTGTAGCGTATAACCGAAGGGTTCGAACCCATATTTTGTCTGTGCGCTTGGTGTTATTGTTTTTTCTTCACTTTTTTGATGATGTATGTTTATGCACTCGCACAATTTACTATTTATCGTATCGGAAGTTTATAAAAGCATATTTTAAAAACTGTTTTAGTTTTCGTTGGTTATTTATAAAGAAACCATGTAAAATATGATGTGAAAAATGTCTTCATTTCATTTCATTTCATCAAATTTTATTGACAAGATGTCGTAGTCAATTGGATTGAATAACAGGCAAAGCCTATATAAATTATCTCCGTCAAATGGCCAAAGTGGAATAAACAATGAGACATAATATTTTAGATATGTTGCAAATGAAACAAGAGGCCCAAGGGCCTTAGCGGTCACCTGAGTTATATCATAGATACTGGTAGCTTTATTTTATTGTTTAGATGTGATGTAAAAATCAGCATGTAAACTAAGTGAAATACAATACTTGTCATGTCATCAATGGATAAGAATTTGAAAATATTGGTAAATGTTTCCTTTGGGGCCCCGCTCTAGCCCCTGGGGATGGGGCAGGAATCCTAATTTTACAAAGTAAAACTCTCATTTACCCAAGATGATTCTGACTAAGTTTGAGCAATTTTCTGCTGAAAATATATAAAATATATACCGAAAAGTGTTATTTCCCTATATAAACTATATTAAACGTTAACCCCTCCCCAAGGGAGAACGGATAGCTCGGGGTCCTGATATTTTCAATTTAAATAAAGCCCCTGATGATCTTTCTTTCCACGTAAAGAAAATCACTGTAGTACCTCTGAGTCTGGAGAAGAAGATTTTTGAAATATTGATTAATTTTCCCTTTGGGGCCCCGCCCTGGCCCCAGGGGTCGGGGTAGGAATCTCAATTTTACAATTTGAAACCATCTACCTCCAAGGATAATTCTCACCAAGTAAAAATAATTTCCTACAGAAAGTTGTCAAAATATACCCAAAAGTGTTATTTCCCTATATAAACTATAGTAAACTTTACCCCCTCCCCAAGGGAGAACGGATAGCTCGGGGGTCCTGAAATTTACAATTTAAGTAAAGCCCCTGATGATCTTTCTTTCCACGTAGAGAAAATCACTGTAGTACCTCTGAGTCTGGAGAAGAAGATTTTTGAAATATTGATTAATTTTCCCTTTGGGGCCCCGCCCTGGCCCCAGGGGTCGGGGTAGGAATCTCAATTTTACAATTTGAAACCATCTACCTCCAAGGATAATTCTCACCAAGTAAAAATAATTTCCTACAGAAAGTTGTCAAAATATACCCAAAAGTGTTATTTCCCTATATAAACTATAGTAAACTTTACCCCCTCCCCAAGGGAGAACGGATAGCTCGGGGGTCCTGAAATTTACAATTTAAGTAAAGCCCCTGATGATCTTTCTTTCCACGTAGAGAAAATCACTGTAGTACCTCTGAGTCTGGAGAAGAAGATTTTTGAAATATTGATTAATTTTCCCTTTGGGGCCCCGCCCTGGCCCCAGGGGTCGGGGTAGGAATCTCAATTTTACAATTTGAAACCATCTACCTCCAAGGATAATTCTCACCAAGTAAAAATAATTTCCTACAGAAAGTTGTCAAAATATACCCAAAAGTGTTATTTCCCTATATAAACTATAGTAAACTTTACCCCCTCCCCAAGGGAGAACGAATAGCTCGGGGGTCCTGAAATTTACAATTTAAGTAAAGCGCCTGATGATCTTTCTTTCCACGTAGAGAAAATCACTGTAGTACCTGTGAGTCTGGAGAAGAAGATTTTTGAAATATTGGATAATTTTCCCTTTGGGGCCCCGCCCTGGCCCCAGGGGTGGGGGTAGGAATCCCAATTTTACAATTTTGAAGCCTCATCTACCAAGGATGATTCTGACCAAGTTTGAAAACAATCCATCCACTGGTTCTTGAGAAGAAGTTGAAAATGTAAAAGTTTACGCACGACGCACGACGCACGACGGACGACGGACGACGGACGACGACGGACGAAAAGCGATTGGAATAGGTCACTTGAGCAAAGCTCAGGTGACCTAAAAATTAACACAAAATAATTCATATTAACACAAGGCTAAGGGGAAGTAACTCATGAAGGAAACATCTCACAACACACACATACAAGTCCATGTACAAATACATTTATTTCAGCATATATATACACTATCCTTGACAGATATTGGCAGGCTGAGACCAAAAGTCCATGTGCATATATTGCACAGGACACTGCTACCAACAACTGTTACAATTAAAAATGATAAATTCATTTAATACATATAGAGTGTAATTATTTACAATGTCATGATAAGTACACGTAATAGACAGTAGTCATGCTCAACTAGAATCTCCTGGATGAAATATAGAAGATATAGTATATTTTTGTTTAACATCATGGCTATAAGTCATATAAAAATTAAAACGACGGGATTTTCCGATAAAAATATGCACATCATCAAGTATTCTTCTATTTGTAAGCCCATCACAANACCCATCACAATCAGGTTAATTGTGCGGCACATTTGAGGGAAGAAACTGTCGACAAAGTTATTAGTTCTACATAACGGTGGGTTGAAAAGCCTAGTTTGTCTGAGAGGGTAGGGGTTATCATTTTGATTATTAATAAAGGGATTTAAAACATTTTGTAAGTATTGAGGTGTCTGCCAATGCATAGTTTTGTACATCATTACATGTTTGTGTTTATTTCGTCTTTCAGAAAGTGTTTCCCAACCTAGTTCATTGTATAGTTTGTCATGTGAAAAATGTCTTGATGCATGTACTTGTACGTTTATATAATACGTATTTCATTACGTGTCAGAAGTTTAAAACACACACATATTAATGTCAGGTAAGTACATTACAGCTAAGAGGGGCATATACTTAAAATATTGACTCTAACTTTTGTAACCTCGGCGCTGATTGGCTTCTAATTTTAACGGACCAATCAGCACCGAGGTCACAAAAGTTGGCAAATCATACTTCAAAATCTAGACTGCTCCCGGCGTCCTACTTTGAACGTTTATGACAAAATCGCATGATTTCTAGAACGGGATTAAGCAACCTTGATTATATTATAGATGTATTGACAGACGAGGCTAGTACCTGCGGGTAGGCACAATTTCATAACATATACGCGAGAGAGTACCTATATGTACATGCATAACATCAATATCAGCCTACGAATGTGTTTTACACAGATATGATAATGAATCTCATGACTGTATACCCATGACCCAACGAATGAGAATAAGTAGTAGATGTGAATGTAAAATCTTGAAATTATTCAGTAGATACTCTTATTTTCAATCAAACACTACAAAACGTTTCACGTTTTAAGCATACTTGGTAGCACCTACCTTAGGAAAATGACGTCTTGTTTCGTTTTCGTTATACTTTGATGACGCATATTCACATATGTACACACAGCTGCGTACACGTACAGTGTAGAAGCCTAGAGCATAGTTAGTTTGACGAGGTTTCAATAACGGCTTGTAATTAATCCAGTTTTTTGCATTGATCAGTAACTTTACAACAGAATAAAAATCTAAAGCAGAAACTGCATCGATACTTAAACAAAGGCTGGTTTGCGTTAAAACAATATAAGTCAATATTAAGATTTGAGACCTCGGTAGCTTTCATGAAAACTGATGTGTTCACTCCCTGTGTATATATACACTCCCTGTGTACTTCCTTTGCGTAAGTCTACGTGTAAGATTACATGTACATTTATTTCAGGTTCATTATCTGGGTGTATTGTAATCATGCACGTAGAGTGGGAAAGACGTCGCTACTGAACAATCGATGAAGAGAATACTATTCGTATGTATACTATCGATATGGGAATACGAGGTCAACGCGACAGATCAATGTTGTTTGACAATACACATATTTGGCTATCTGCCATATTTCGTCAAGTCTAAAGATACATACAATTTACATGACATAAATATATACACATAAGCAGTGAAATTAGAAACGATTACATTTAGGTATATAAAGAATTAATTTACAAAACATAGGCATATACTATATTTTATAGTATACTTCTGACAACCCAATATGTGTAAATACGTTAAAATGAAACACACTAAATAACTTAAGAGCTGATTATGCCTTTTATTACATACTTCTAGTAATGTATGTGGTTTTTGACTACCACACTACATGTACCAATTTTGGAATTTTAACATCTTAGCAACAGACACAAGGCAGCCGAGGTTCGATTCGCTGATTTGACGTCGATAGTTATTGGACCTGCCCGACCATGTCGGTTTATCCGCCTCCCCCGTTAAG